TGGTATAGAAAGCAAAAAATGAACACGTAGAACTAAGTGTGCTGGCTGATTCACTAGAGAGGCATAGGGTATGACAGGGGCAAAAACTATATGGTATTATTTGTTCTTAGGGCTAGGTGGTGGAGTGGGCCATAAAGAAGGGGTTCTTAAAGGAAGCTGACTTAGGATAGAACCCAAATGTCTTTATGTATATGGGGACGGGGATGCCACCTTGATGAAAAGGTTCTGAGGCAGGAAAGGCCTATTTCTGTTCTTAGGCAGATGATGAGGATGTCTGAATTGAAGAGCAAACAAGCAGATGGGCCTGGGGACATGGTCAGAAGCTACAGCGAGGAAGGTTTTGTAGGCCCTGCTAAGGATTTTGCCTCTTACCTAATATGTACCACTTTGCATATTTGTAATAACAACATTAGATAGAAAAAAAATTAAAACAGCCTCAGTATGTGGTATGGGAGAAAGAGTCCTTCGTAAGTTCTTCTGCACCTTTTCTAGAAACACAGAGCAAAGCTCCCCAGGAGGAAAGGCTGTTTACCCCCATATTCCCCATCTAACAAAGTAAGGAACAAAGCAAGGCTTTCGGCGTGCATGCTGCCTCTGTAAATTTTGCTTTCTTTCCTCATAAAGTGTCTACTTTGTTTATTTTCTTATGTGTGTGGGGGCCATTTTTTTACTTTTTATTTTGAAATAATTTTAGATTTGCAGGAAAGCTGCAAACACAGTACAGAGTTCCTGTATGTATCACATCCTAATAATTTTCCCAAACATGAACATCTTATATAACCATGGTACACACACTAAATTATAGACTTTTTTTTTCCAGTCTCATTGATTTTTTTCTGTTTCAGGACTCACTTTATGATATCCCACTGCAATTAGTTGTCAGGTCTCCTTAGCCTCCCTCAATCTATGACAGTCTCTTCATCTTTCCATACCTTTTGTGACCTTGACACTTTTGAAAAGTACTGGTGAGGTGTTTTGTAGAATGTCTGCTTGCCTTGGGGTCTATCTAATGCTTTCTCATGATCAGGCTGAGGATATGAATTTCAGGAAAGGATGCCTTCTCATTGGCCTTATGATCTGAAGTTCTCTACCAGCTCTAAGCTTTACAAGAAAGGCAGTTTCCCTGGTCTCTGCCCCCATCCAGAATAATCCACATATCATATATAAAAGAAGTTTAAGGTACGACAGTTATGGGAAGTCTTGTGTCCTATCTAGTTTTCTTTTTGGGAGCCTCAGTAACTTCTGACACTCCTCAAACTTTGTTATATTCATTGCCTGCATTTTTGCATTCTCTCTGCACCCTGAAGCTACTACAGATGCAATACGTTAGGTTGACATGATAAGTATTATGTTTCTTCAAAGAGTTTTTTTTAACATGATTATTTTTGGCCTTTAATAACCCCAGGGAATCTCTTTCTAGGTAGCCTCATCTGTCTACATTCACAGGGAATTAACACGTGCAAGACCTGTGTCTGCAAATTTTCCAGACCTCACTGTTTGTTATTTAAAAAGACAATGACTCATTCCCAATTATCTTTTCTCTTGCAGACAGAGCCATCTTCCTGAATTTAAATCACCCCCATCAACAAGCTACCTAATCTATGGGTGGAATTTTTAAAGATGGAACAGAGCAGATGCAAGATGTTTTGTGTGTCCTAAATAAGTTTGTGTAAATAATTTTCATTTTAGGTCAATTTGATAGGCAGAATTACCCGCTTACAGAGTTTAGGGAATTAGGACCTGAAAACTGTGCAGGTGCCATCAGGGGCATGGAAAGATGTGAAGAAATGCCTGGGGTTGGGGGAAACATTGAGGATAAAATGACTGCAGCTGCACTGTTTTATCAGCTCCATCACACTCGCTGTCACTGCCTTGAACACACAGGTTCTCTCCTGCCTCAGGGACTTTGCACATGTCTCTCCTGCTGCTCAGATGGCTCCTGTCCTCAGCTTCTTTTGCCTTTCTCAGGGAAACTTTTACCCACCTCCCAGAATAGATCTGGTCCTCTGTCATTTGCTGTCACAATTCCACGTTTTTCCTTCAGAGCAAGTAATAAAATTTATAATTATGTGTCTATTATAATTTAATAAAAATAATGTCAGCTAAAAATTACTGAGCACACTCTGCATATGCCAAGCACTGCACCTCTTATTTAGTCTTCAAAACAAAACCATGGGGACCCTGAGACACAATATGATCAATTTCCAGCTCTCCAGTAAACTGTAAGTGGCATGCGGACAGGTTCTGTGTGTCTGTTTTGCTCTACCCTGAATCACTAGTGCTTGACAAAGAGCTTGGCGGGAAAAAGCTTGGTATATATTTATTAAACAAATACAGCACGACATAGCAGAAGAAAAATGTGCTCTGGGCTGAAGCATATTTGGTCCCAAATCTTGAGACAGAGTATGAACCGCTCTTAGGGACCTACCAGGCCCCACTAAGTATGGAAATAAAGGAAAATTTGAGTCCCCTCAAGGGAAATTCCAGGCACCTAGCTAGCCCTGTAATCAGCAATTGAGGAAGGGAATAAATAACCCACGAAGCCAGAAAGTAATAAAAGCTTAAATAACAGTAACCCAAGTAAGTTAGAGTCTCAAGATGTTTTGTTCTCTAAAGAAACAAAAGATAGCATCTTGACGTATGTCCCTGAATTGTCTTTCAGAAACCTGGACCCCCATCAGATATAAGATGCCTACTGCTTTCCCATAGACCTTAGATAAGGGGAAGCTGAGGACTCAACTCTGACTGTCATTCTTTGTTTTAAATTTCTTCTTGAGGAGACTTGAAAGAGTCATGCCCTACAGGCCAGACTTAAACATTTCTTTCTGCTGATGATTTTGCCTGAAACTTCTGCTTTTCTGAAATGTACCCCTGCCTTTAAAAGCCCTGCTAGTATGCCATTGAGGAGTTCGGATCTTAAGTATTATCCACTCGGTTCTTTTTGCTTGGCAACTGCCGTACAAGTCTCTACATCCTCTCATTGCAAATTTTGGTGACAGTGTTTGGCTTTTTCTGCCCACGGGGCAAACAGACTCAAGTTTTATTCAGTGACAATCTCAATTCTGTGATTAACTAGCTTTGTAAATTTTAACAGCTTATTTAGCTTCCCCAAGTCCTGGTCTATCTGAGATCATGAAAACTCATCATAAAGGTCTTTAAAGGAATTAAATGAGATAATACAAGTGAAAGCACATTCTTGTGTCCAGCATGTATGTAACTATATAGCTGCTATATAACTAGCAGCTTCCCTATTCTTCTCCAAAATATTTCTCAGAGATATAGTAGTTCTGAAATTTTTCTTCTGATGGTATCACTATTCCTAGACACCATTTGGATACTTTGCTCACCAAAATGCTATGCTTTAGGATTATCACTTTGTGTTCCTTCTCTGATCTTATTCCAAGAATGAAGAGGGGTTAAATATAATTCACAGAAAGACATCAAATGGAAGTTAACAGGAAGTAGTCACTTTACAATCCATTTTATTGGACTACAGAAAGGCAAATCACATTTCTCCTCTGCCATTAGAGAATCACCTAAATAGCACCCTATTCTACTCTTGTTTTTTATTTTTATTTTTTATTTTTTTTAGACAGGGTCTCCCTCTATTGTTCAGGCTAGAGTGCAGTGGCACAATCATGGCTCACTGTAGCCCGAAACATCTGTGCTCAAGTGACTCTCCCGTCTTAGCCTCCTGAGTAACTGTAAATATAGGCATGAGCCACCATAGCTGGCTAATTTAAAAATTTTTCTTTTGTAGAGACAGGGTTTTGCTGTGTTGCCCAGGCTAGTATTGAACACTTGGCCTCAAGTGATCTCCCACCACAGCCTCCCAAGGTGCTGGTTAAAGGCATGAGCCACCGTGCCTGGCTCCATTCCACCCTTCAGGCAGACAAAATTACTGCTTTAACCACTCTGTTAAGGCTTTGGCAGCAGGTTAAAGTTGCGCTGGTAGATGATAGAATTCAATCCCAAACTTAAAAATGCGCAAGACAAAAGGGAATGATATTAGCATTTCAAAGTAGAAAAACAGAAAGACTCACAGAGGAAAACTTTAAGAAACACCTTAGGATGAAATTCCTTTGAAGTGCCTTGATTCCTGAAATAACAGAATGGTTCTCTAATGGTATCCATTATGTCTCACTAATTACCTTATGAAACTTACATTGGAAACATGTAGAAGGCATTATATGTTATAAAAATTGCCAAAAAGTATGAGATTAGAAGGTGTTCACACAAAAATATAACAAAACTGGCTTACATTTATTAAGTATTTACAATATGCTATGCTCTGAACTTCACATTTTAACTAGTTTTCATTGGATCCTATGACACATTTATCCAACAAATATTAACGAAGTGCTTACTATGCATCAGGCACTGTACTAACAGCAAAACAAACATAGTTCTTGCTTGTAAGAAAAATGAAATCTAATGGATGAGAAACATATCGAACAGTTTAATGTTTATTGCACAATTTCATATGATCAACTAATTGTGACTTGCCTAGGACTCTCCTGGTTTTTGCACTAAAAATTTCACATCCTGGGAATAACTTTGTCAGTGAGAATAACTGGTCACTTAGCAAAATCACATGAGACACAATTAATTATATTAAGTGCTATTATAAAAAAGTGCAGAGTTACATGAACTACTGATGGTTGGCCCTTGTTTATAGATGAAGATACCAAAATTCAGGAAAGTTAAGTAATATATCCACATTCATATGTGGCAAAGGAAAGGCCTGAAGCTTCATTGTTTCTGGCACCTAATTACATGACCTAATTTCATGTCTGACGATAAAATTTCTTCTGGTACTTTATACTTCAGAGTCCAAATCTAGACTTGCACAAATTAATGAAATGCTTTCAAAAGGGTTTGGTGGAGGAATGTTCACAGGACAAGGAAAGACAGAATTCAGAGCAAATCCTTTGGATCTGGATCCTAAATGCAGCTCCATCCCTGCTGGAAACACCTGCATATCTTTCAGCTGTGGGTGGCTCACAGACAAACGAAAGAAGGCATTTTTCTGCTTGACTGGAGTCTTTTGCAGGAGACAAAAAGTGTTTCTTCAAATGTGAGGAGTGGGGTAGGAGAGGGTGACTATAAAAAATTGGCAGGGCATACCTAAATACCTCTGGGCAATGGACGAAAAATATCCCTGAAGGGTATTTCAGCACTTCATTTTGGTTAGCAAGAAGCAGTTTTCCCTTGGTAGAAAGTCAGTGAGGAAAACATTGTGTTTTGCATTGAACAGTTTGATTTGACTGGCACCTTTGAGATAAGAAATCAAGTGCAAAAACTGGCAACATGAGCCAGTAAAAAGAGGCTAGGAGTACCCCCATCAGATGCTCACTCCAGCGATGTTTTGGTCACTGCTGTAATCCCTGCACACAGAAGATAACCATTAGATAACCATTCTGTTATTTCAGGAATCAGGACACTTCAAAGGCATTTCATCCCTTCTTTGGTCTGTTTTGGTCACTGCTGTATTCTGTGCACACAGAAAAGGACATGGCACATACTATACCCTCACTAATATTTGGTGAATGGTTGAATGAGAAAACAATAGTCTTAGTTTCTAATTTGCAAATGTGACAAAGCTACTTTATATCCCTGGGCCTTGGCTTTCTCCTCCATTCAAGGGGAGAATTTAACTGGATGAATCCATCCATAGATTCTTATTTCACTTATCCTCAGTGAGATAACTCAGAAACAGAAAGTCAACTACTGCATGTTCTCACTTATAAGTGAGGGCAAAACAGTGGCTACACATGGACATACAGAAGGAAATAGTAGACATTGGGAACTCCAAAAGGTGAGAGGGTGGGGGGAGAAGGAGGGCTAAAAAATTACCTGCTGGGTACAGTATTCACTATTTGGGATGATGGGAACACTAGAAGCACAAACGTTACTATTATGCAATATATGTATGTAAGAAATCTGCACTTGTATCCCTTAAATATATTAAGTTTTTTAAAAACTATTAGATTTGTTGAAGTTTGGTTCAGGAAGCCATGGTTCCTGAAGACATGAATTCACAAGTACCATAGAATGAAGAAACAGACAAATTTGAGCTTCTTTTTTTTTTTTAAGGGATCCTATTTTTAATTTTATTGATTTTGAGATGGTGTCTTACTCTGTCACCCAAGCTGGAGTATGGTGGTGTGATCACAGTTCACTGCAGCTTTGACCTCCCAGGCTCAAACGATCCTCCTGCCTCAGCCTCCTGAGTAACTGGGATCACAGGTGTGTGCCACCATACCTGGCTGATGTTTTTGTTTTAATTTTTTTGTAAAGGTAGGGTTTCCCCATGTTGCCCAGGCTGGTCACAAACTCCTGGGTTTAAGAGACTCTCCTGCCTTGACTTCCCAAAGAGCTGCAATGACAGGTGTGAGTCACCGTGCCAAGCCCCAGATTTGAGGTTCTGCCTGGTGCTGGGTGTATTTGGGGATGAAATGCTCCTGGACCCTTTATTGACAATGTATCTAAAAGTTGATTCTTTCATCTCAAGGCAGAAATAAATTTGAATAATACTCAAACAGTTAAAAAAAAAAAAAAAAGAAAGAAAAATCCAACCCATAGACAGGATGAGTCTGTGTCAGGACATATTTCTAGATGTCTAACTAGAGAAGAAGAGTTAAATAAATTATGGCACCATCATAAAATAGAAAAGTAAATCATCATTAATATTGATATCGTAGATTTGTTGACAAGAAAATTGCTCATGATACCATTAGTTGTTTTTTTTTTAAAGTTATATAACAACATAAGCCATATAGTGTGATCTATACATGTATTCATGTGCAGGTCTAGAGAGAAACCTGGGAAGATATACCCTGATATGTAAGCAGTGAGTCTCACTGAACTGTAGATTTACAGGTGAGTTTATTTTTATGATTATCTATCTATATCATCTAATTTTCCTCTATGGCTATGACTTGTCATATAATATAGATTGATATAATGACTTAGCACTTAATAAGCATCTAGTTCTTCAGTAATGAGGTGTTATAACGTAGGCATTAGAAGTTGGGCCCAGGAATCAGACCATGTGGTTCAAATCCTGGTGAATCCCCTTAGTTACTGTGTGGCCTCGGGTGAATTATTCAACCTCTCCTAGCTGCACTTTGCCCCTGTATAAAGCAAACAAAAATATTCAACTCATATATTGGTGCTGAAGTTTAAACTAGGTAATCCATTCAACATGCCTGACATATATCATACAGTTGATAAATGTTAGCTATTATTATGCTAAATACAAAGAAATAATTTTTAGACTATGTAAGCCTGTCAAATGACATGGACGTTGTCCTCAGGGAGTTTTAAATTTGGTGAGAATAATAAGACTAACACACAAGAAACAGATGGCAAACCTTAGTTTAACTTCCTAGAGTCACAAATCTGGAGGAATTTTCGCCTTTTGTCTTGAGGAGATTTTACATTCAATGAGAGGCCAAGTACTGTCTAGTGGGAACCTCTTTCCTCATCATGTCCACTGCCACTCCTCCTCCTCCAGTTCATGTTTCTCTTCTGCCTGCTCACTGCATTACATTCCAAAGGGTTTCTAGGCCCCTTGTCTCATTTTCAAGCTCCTGGTGTTGAGAACACCAGTGGTTCTCAAAGAGTGATTCTCAGATTTGCAGCATTAGTACCACCCGAGAACTTGTTAGAAATGCACATTCTTGGATCCTTAACCAAGAGCAAGTGAATCAGAAACTCCAGGGATGGAGCCCAGGAATCTGTGTCACAAAAAGCCTTCTAGGGGATCCTGATGCATATATCAGCTTGAGAATTTCTCTTCTTTCCGATATTGGCAGATCAGTCTCTCCAAAGCACATAAGCTCTGCCACTGCCTATGCCCCACTTGTCTCTGGCTACTGAGTAGATGGTGACAGATTTTCTGACGCTGCTACTGGAGGTCTTCTGCCTGCTCTTGCACCAATCTACTTTTTCGGGCTCATCGTCCACTACATTTTTTTCACTCAAAACATGCTCTGGTAAAACTAAATCATCTAATTCCTTCTAGACACAATCCATGGTATATTCTATGTGTTTTTCTATGCTTTTATTTGTACTATTTCCTAAAACTGCAATGTAATGTCTTCTTCCTTCTCATCTTAGATGTCCTAACCCTGCTCACCCTCGAGACCTAGGGCCCACCCATGAAACTTCTCTCAATAGATCCACAACCCCCTAGGAAATGACTGCTGCCTTCTTAGAACAACCAAACATTCAACTGACTCATTCTTCCCCCATTCATTTTCTTGGTATCACCACAGTGTTTTGTTTACTAGGGATGCCATAACAAATTACCATAAACTGGGGGGATTTAAAATAACAGTTTATTTTCTCACAGTTCTGGAGAAATCTGGTGCTGGTGTGTTGGCAGAGCCCCACCTTTCTCTTAGCAGCTGGTGCTGCCAGCAATCCTTGCTGTTCCTTGGCTTGTAGACATGCCACTCCTCTGCCTCTGCTGTCACCTGGCATTTCTTCTATGTCTATGGGTCTCTTATGAGAACATTATTAAGCCATTATTGGATTGGGACTCACTCTAAGCCAGAATGACCTCATCTTAACTTGATTACATCTGCAAAGACCCTATTTCCAAATAAGGCCACATTCGTAGATCCTACAGGTTAGGACGTCAACATATGTTTTTGGGGAACACAATTCAACTATGGTAATTTTTTATATTACATATCACCCCTAATCAGTAGTAAGCTCTTTGAAGGCAAGCACTATAGCTCATTCCTATTTTCCCTTCCCTGTATTATTTAATAAACAGAAAACCGAAGACATAAAGTAGAATGTAACTAAGCACCAGTTACCTTAACTAGTAGCTGAGCACAAAATTATGTGATGCGGTCCATTCAGTGTGGGAAATTGGGAGGTCAGGGAGGCAGGTTTATGAGGGCTGGAGTGCTTGGCAAAGGCTTTCTTGGGGAAGAAAGGCTGCTTAATGAGTAGACAGGATTTGGAGACAGAGAGAAAAGTGGCCGTAACTTTCCAAGTAGAGAAGCTGTATGAACAAAATATTGTCTATAAAATTTTTTTTAAAAACGATTAGATAAAGTACAGTTTTTAAAACAATTCTGTGTTGGCATAGCTAGAGCCCTAGAGAACAGATCTGGAGGTGAAAGATGGATATTGAGCAGAAATGGGAAATGATCCACCACTTGTTCTTTTTGTTAGTTCAATGATCATTGTTTAGTCTCTTCTCTATTTTTCCTGCTACTTTATTACTCCCTGGCGGGCTTCTAAATTCTGTTTCCAAGAGAAGATAATTGAATTGGCAGCCGAATATACCCATGCAACCCTGGACTTCATTCTCCTGATACTAAAGATCTTCTCATGCTAGAGGGCAAGCTAGAGACGGAGGAGAAAGTCCTCGTCCATTTTGGTTACTACAGTGTCCCCAGGGCTTGTCATGCAAAACAGCCTCCACAAGTGTATCTTGAATAAATGAATGGATGGATGGATGACAAGGCAACTATAAGACACACACACACACACACACACAAACACACACACACACAGACAGAGAGAGGGAGAGAGAGAGAGAGAGAGAGTATGTGTTTCAGTGTCATTCCATCCCATTAACTATAGATTCCTATTTACAGAAGAATATCCACAAGACTCTATTACTATGGGTTCTGAAAGTGTTGGTTGCTTATTTGATTCCACTTTTTGTTACTTAGTCCTTGACGTTGTTTATATTATTAATCCATTAGACAGAACCTGTGCTTCTATCTGTTTTAGATTCAGTTAACTTAGCATTTTCTTGATTAACATTATATCAGACACTACTAATGCAGAACCTGTTTGTATTCAAATTCAAAGCAGATGATGAGGTTGAGAATGGTGACCTTAATAAATTAATTTTCTAATTGCACTCTAAAATAGATCATAAAAGCCTAAAAGCTAGATGAAAAACATTTGATTCTTTTTCATAATTTTCCCCACATTTCCTCCAGTGTACACATACTTAAGGTGTATTAAACAAGCAGTAGATGCACTTCATGATTTCGTGCTGAGTGGTATGTCTTTTAATTAGTAATATTAACATTGAGAATTTTTCTTTGACAAGCAACAGTAGGTTTGAGATGACATCATGCTGCATTCTCTTCCTTGTTGAGAGGGGATTATTAAATTTTTATCTAGTGATTCAGAGAAAATATTAAATCTATTTCAAAAAAAATTTTCTCCATAAGTTTCTTACAATATGTGGTACACATATTTTAATGGCTCATCTAGGATTACTTCCTTCATTATATACAGAAGCATAGGAAAATCAAAAACAATATTCTGATTGATGAAACTGACCATCGTTTTCATTGTGGCAAGTATTTGACCAATTCCTGTATCCCATGCAATTTTTAGTATTCATTAAGGCAGAGCACTAAGATTTCTAATTTAATCATCATCACACTACTGAGCTAAAAATTATTGTTGCTATCATTTTACACAGGAAGAAACTGAGATATTAGAGGGTAAATAACTGGTTCACAAAGTGACTAATACAAGGAGTCCGATTTTAATTCAGTTCTGGCTGACTCTAGAAAGTACATGCTCTTTAATTATTCTCAACTCATTTTTTAACTGAAAAAAGGTAAACCATAAGAAAACCAGCTGATTTTGAAAAAGATTCATAGAGCAATGTTCAAAGGCTATTTCTGGGCTGAATGCACATTTTACCCTGTCTTCAATACTTCCAGTATGGCTATCAATGACAGGCACTGAACCCAGAAACAACACAAGATTCCGAAGCTGTTGTAGTAAAAATCCATTGTCTGTTTACAGAGAGTGCTATTAGCTGAGGGCATGCTCCAAAATTCCTATGTTGAAACTTAATTGCCATTGTGACAATTTTAAAAGGTGGGACCTTGACGAAATAAGGTGGGACCTTTAGGAATGAGATTCGCATCTTATTGACGAAGCTTCACATAGAGTCTACCCTTTTTTGCCCTTCCAATTTCTGCCGTATGAGTATACACTGTTCAAGGCACCATCTTGGAAGCAAAGACCAGGCACTCACCAGAAACTGAACTTGCTAGTGCCTTAATCTTTATTAGCATTATATCACATACTACCAATGCAGAACCTGGACTTGATCTTAAATTTTCAGCCTCCAGAGCTGTGAGAAATAAATAAATTCCTATTATTTGTAAATTACCCAATTTGTGGTATTTTCTTATAGCTTAAGAGTGTACCAGGACAATTAGCCAAATTTATTCATTGTCTAATATTAAAATAAATATTTTAATATTAGTTGGCAGTACAATTATTTCCTTTTAACCTGAAAGGTTTACTAGAGACTGATGTACTATGCAAATAATGTAGCATCTGTCTTAGCCCCCGTTTGTTTATTCTTTCTTTTTTCTTTAATATATAGTTAGCGTATTGAGTACCTACCATGTGCGAGGTTTTATGGGAAATCTACAGCATTTTAAAAGGTGACTTTCCACTCCCCACCTGCCATGCCATATAAGGAAAAGAGATTAGAATAAAAGTAATCATAATATCTGCTATTCAATTGTCATCATATTCTAATAAAACTGGAATCAGCATTAGACCGGTAAGAGTTGCGTACCAGGAGACATATTTGTATTGGCACCATTCCATTTTGTTTGTGCCCACGTGGGCAGGTCCTCAGAAATCCCTTCCACTTATTCAAAATTCACTTTAAACCATTTCTTCATACCAAGCTGCTGAAGCTGAGATGTCTTAAAGTACCTTCCTTTTTAGAAATTTGGTGTCCAACTTATATTTAAATACCTAAAATAGACAATACACCAGAATAAGGGTTTGGAATATCAACTAGGAATCAATAAGAATTTTTTGTGATTGAAAAAGCCAAAAAGCTTTTCTGATATTCCTAAAGGTATATTGCATTTGCTAACTCTGAAATACCAAGTGATGTCATCAAAATGCCTTTCTTTATTTGAGAGAAAATACTGCTGGTTAACAGCAGGTAAAATAAGTTATTCAGGGATTGTGGATTAAGCCGAAAGTCTGCAAACTATCACCTATAGACCAAGTCCTGCCTGACACTTGATTTTGTAAAGTTTTATTGAAATACAGTCACACCAGTTCATTCATACTTTTTTTCATATTTTTGTGCTACAGTGACAGAGCTGAGTCATGACATAGACATGGCCGGCAATGTCTAATAGACATTTACTATTTGACCCTTAATGAAAAGTTTCCCAACTCCTGGTGTAAGCCATCAGTCAGATTTTTCCCAAAGACCCATATCCCATGATCTATATACTCCCTTACAACTGCCTGATCCGAGGGATTACCTGAAGAACTTGAATAGAACCCAGGTACTAGGGACGACAAAGTAACATTAATCTTGGTATCAGCTGTGAATTGGGCTTGATACTACCAGGAAGCTGATGATTAAACGTACTTAGGTCTGTCCAAGGAGAAAATTCTTGAATAGTTTGGGCTCAAATAATGCTTTCATATAAAAATATGGACGTGTATAATTGAAAGTACATTGAGCCACACAGAAATAAGTTTAAATTTTGGCTCTGCTCCCTACCATTTCTGAGATTGGTGTTCCTCCTCCTCCTGAGAGGTCAGACTAACTTTCATACTCCTAGTATCCAGCAGGTTCCTTGTTATAGGATTTTATGCATAGACTTCCCTCAGAACATTTATCTCAGGTTGTTTTTATATACTCATAACTGCAACTATTTGATTATCTTCAATACACTTTAACATTGATGATAATTGTTGTAATGTCTGGTTTTTGCTCTCTAACATTACATTTGGGGCACAAAGTAGATTCTCAATAAACATGTTGCCTGATATTTGTTGTCAATCTAACAACAAGTATTTTTTGCTGCTTACCACCCACAATACTAAGTTGCATATTTCTTTCTATCTTCTTCAGAGCCTGGCAATAAGCCTTGCATTTATCAATAATTCAGTGACTGATGTTTGGTAAACTGAAAGTCTAACTAAGTTTGATGTAACAATAGCTGACTAGAGCTACCATTTCTGGTACTGACTTAATAGATAATGATGTCACCTCGTGGCTCAAAGAAACTTGGTGACAGCTGTTATTTCACATAAGTGATAATATTTTCGTCTCCTATACTTAAAAAAAAAGGGCCAATAGACTGTAAACTATATGAACAAAACTGCCACCAGATGGCAATTCTTTCTTGTCACCCAGGAATCACTTTTGCTACATTTCAACAGTGTTTTGCCTTTCTGAATGTGTTCTTTGCAGACATTGAGATTAGTCTGAGAATCAGAGTGGCAAACAGCATACTTACTGCAATTTCCATTATAATAAAGGTTAACAAAAAATACAGTATATTGCCACCAAGGAGATTAGGAGACTTGATGCTTACAGCAGCAATAAGAAAGGAAATGCACAAATCATCTCGTGTTTATCAAAATAGGCCCATAGAACAGTGGTGCTTTAAGATACTCTATGAAGGAAGAGTTCTGTGAGCAAATGAATCAGGGTAAAACTGCAAAGGATGGATCTATCTTGAAGACAGACAAAGTATGTTACCAGGTCTAAAGCTCCAACAAAGTCTTGCAATTATAAAAATATAATACAATTTGAATGAGAGTGGTAGAGATTGCCAGTACTCACTCACATCTGAGTTTTCACACCTTTCCTGGGCAAATGGAAGATTCTCAGCCCCTTGTCGTTAGTCAGGACCTTATGACTTGCTCCAACCAATGAGATATGAGTGGGAGACTTATGGGCCACTTTCATGCTGGGGCAGAGGAAAGCTTCTGTGTGACCTCCCAGCCCTCTCATTTCCTGTGAGGGGATCATGAGCACCTTGATGATACAATGGTAGAGCCACATCATGGAAGTAATAAGGATCACTAAATCACCACATAGCAGCCAGCTGCCCTGGAAAGTCCTCCCACTACCATAGGACTCTGTATAAGCAAGAAAGAAATCTTCAAGTTAAGCCACAGAAATAGGAAAATAATTTGTTACTCCTGTGTAATCTATCCCAATACAATGTTTCCTCGACTTGGTAGACCACAGCTATCTTTGTCCTTGTAAAAAAATAAATATCAGAGGAAAATTATTACAGGGAA